TCTATTTCGTGTCTTAATTCAGGTACGTTGTTGTGTTCATTATTATTTTCCGTTCCTTTAAACAGTTCCGTCAGGTATCTTTCCCATTCGTTTGCTAGTATGTTATTGTATTCCTTCAATTGTGCCCTTACTCTCCGTTGGTTTCTTATGAATCTCCATATTTGCTTTTATGTATGGTAGAAGTCACTTTTCATCCTTTTTGAAAATTGTTCCCAGTGTTCATTTTTTGTTCTTCTTACCAACTGCTTTGTTTCATTTCGTATTCTTCTATAGTTTTAATGTTTTGTACTTCTTGTAGGCCTCTAGTTTTTCTTTACATTTCTTTTTAATTCTTGTCTGAACCATGTTGTATTGTTGTTGTTTCTTTTGTTCACTATGACTTTGCGTTTTCCTAGAGCTTCTGTTGCTGCTTCTTCAATGTTGTTTTAAATTTTCTCCCAGCTCGTGTTTATGTCTTCGATGTCATCTATTTTTTTCAGCTATATATTTCTCTTGTATCGTAGTACTAGTTTGTGTTCACTCTCTCCGTCTGCTGAGTTAAAGTTCTGATATCTAGAATTTACTTTGGGTGGATTTTTCTATTAGTGACTATAAAATAAGTCATAGATTTGTGTCCCTGGAGTTTTCAAATGTATATTTATACTGCAGCTTATGGTAGAAAAATGTATTATTGATTCTTAGTTCGTTAAAAGCACAGAGATTAGCCACGAGTTTTCCATTTTCGTTGACATGATTTTCATTAAAACTAAACCAAAAATAATCAAATATAATGTTGATAAATTAAAGTGTACTGAAGTCGTAAGAAACTTCCAAATATGCTTAGATCGCAAAATATCAGAATATCCCAGAAGTGAGGTATATCCCACTGAACTTAATACAAATTGGGAGTTTATGAAAACCACGCTCAAAGAGACCGCAGAGGAAGTGCTGGGTGAAGTACCCAAACGACAGCGAAACAAATGGTTTGATGAGGAATGCCAACGAGTAACAAAAGAGAAGAACGACGCGTATATGAAAATGATCAACAGAAGGACAGGAGCAATGTTGAAGAATATCGAGTAAAGAGACGAGAGGAAAAACAAAAACACAAACAGAAACAGCGGCAACAAATCAATAAAGAGTTCGAAGAAATGGAAAACCTTAATAGAGAACACGAATACAGAAAATTTTACAAACAGGTTAACACAAAAAGAAAAGTTTTCAAACCACAAGCGAACCAAGTCAAGGCCCTTAACGGAATTCTTTTAAACGAGAGAGTGGAAGTACTAGAAAGATGGCAGGAACATTTTAGTACGCTACTTAATGGAGAAAGTAGAGCTGAAGGTAGATATGATATAGAAATAGAACACGAGGATACTGAACTACCAACTTTGGAAGAAATAAACAAAGCAATTCAGTCTCTAGCCAGAAACAAGTCACCCGGAGCAGACAACCTACCAGCAGAAATATTTAAATGTGGCAGTCAAACATTTGTAACCCTCCTTCACAAACTACTAATACAGGTATGGCAAGAACGCGCGTTACCAGAAGATTGGAATACTGGAATTATATGCCCCATACATAAAAAAGGAAACGTTATTGAATGCTCCAACTTTAGAGGGATTTCCCTTCTTAATACAGCATACAAAATTGTGTCCCTGATACTTAACGAACGACTGGCACGGTATACTGACAATATAATAGGATCCTATCAAAGAGGCTTCTTGAAAAACAAATCTACCATTGATCACATATCATCTATCAGACAAATATTAGAAAAAACGACGGAGTACGACATAGACTGCCATTACATCTTCGTAGACTTTAAGGCAGCGTACGATACTATTGACAGGTCTCAATTATATTCGGCGATGATCGAATTAGGAATACCAAAAGGTTTGGTAGAATTAATTAAAATGACAATGATGAAAGTCGAATGTAAAGTGCGCGTACAAGGGGATGTTTCAAAACCATTTAAAACCAACAGAGGACTACGCCAGGGAGATGCGCTATCGTGCATGCTGTTCAACCTAGAGTTAGAAAAAGTTATGAGAGACTCGGGAATAAACTTAAAAGGTACGATATATACCCGTAGTATACAAATAATGGCATACGCTGATGATATCGTCATAATTGGAAGAACCCAAAATGAAGCAGTGGAGGCTTTCACACGTATCAAAAATGCCGCAGAAAACATCGTACTTCTGATTAACATCCAGAAAACTAAATATATGCCGGCCATATCAAGAATGCAACAAAATAACTTAGAGGTGCAACACGAAACGATAGAAATGGTAGAAGAATTCTGCTACTTAGGATCACTGGTAGACTACAAAAATAACACATCCAACGAGATAAAAAAAAGAATATGCGTGGCTAACCGCTTTTATTTCGGCCTGGGCCCTCAACTAAGAGCGAGAAGTATGTCAATAGCAACAAAGTGCAAACTTTATAAAACAATAATACGCCCAGTGCTCATATACGGATCGGAAACATGGACAATGACGACCCGAGATGAAGAGTTACTACGAGTCTTTGAAAGAAAAGTATTGAGGACCATATTTGGCGGAGTAAACGAACAGGGTCTGTGGAGAAGGCGATATAACTCTATAACTCTATAGACTTTTTGGTGATGCAGATATTGTGAAGACCATCAAGATAAACCGCCTAAGATGGGTGGGCCACGTTATGCGGATGGATGAGAGTGATCCCACTAAAATAACTATGCTAAATAGGCCGGTCGGAAGAAGAAGAAGGGGGCGACCTAAACTCAGATATCTGGACGACGTACAGGAAGATCTGAGGGAGATTGGAGTGAGGGGCTGGAGAAGACAGACATTCGGTATTGAAGGATGGAAGAATGTTTTGAAGCAGGCCAAGGCTCACGAAGGGGTGTAGCGCCAACTGATGATGATTTTCATTAAATCTTAGTTTTACTCCTGGAACTATTTTATTTCCGATTCGTACATTAAAGTCGCCCATAAGAATTAAAGGTTCTTCATGAGGTATTTTATCCAGGATGGTTTGCAATTGTTCGTAAAATGCCTCTCGTTTCTCCTGAGGTTTGCAGTCCTTGGGGCTATAGATATATATGACATTTAATTTTTGGTAGTCCACTGTGATATTCATATGTATTATTCTTTCGGAGATATAATGGCAGTTATTTATGTTGTCTTTAAATTTTTTATGGACAAGTATACCTACGTCTGCCCGTGCTCGTTCTTCTATCTTCACTCCACTGCATATTCCATAAACCAAAAAGGTGGTGGACAAGATTCATGTGGCTCAGAGAGGTATAGAGCGCCAGATGTTCAAGAAAAAATACTTCTTAGAACAAAAACAATAGCCGCTATCGAATTCATAGTGTCGCAAAAATGGAATTGGACAGGACAAGTCGCCAGTTTAGAGGTCAAGATAAGAAGCACTGAGCAGATCACCTAGAGGCCCACCAACTAGAGGATCTGAAGACCTGGAACGTGTTAGCCGCACAAGACAGAGATAGAAAGAGCTTAGGGAAATATATACCCAGCAGTGAACGGGTATAGGTTGGTGACGATAAATAACACTCCTTGTCTCTTTGTCAATTATCTTGTATTCCATTAAGTTCTTATCTTTTATTCTCCTTCTATTTTCAATTATATCCAGTATTTAATTATCATCATTGACTTTCGGACTCACATTGTTTATTATTGAGTTTCTATATCTCTTCTACATTCTACATTAGTTAGTGTTGTAGTGCCTATGCATCTTTAAGTACTTTTAAATCACATTGTTTTTAGACCAGTATGGACATTGACGGACTAACTAGATCCAGACATAGAAATAAAACATAGAATAGCAATTACTAAAACTACTTTTATGAAAATGAAGTCATTTCTTTGCAATAACCATCTCAGTTTAGAACTACGACAAAGGTTGATTAAGTGCTATGTTTGGTCCGTATTTTTGTTATAGTGCAGAAGTGTGGACGCTAAAAGTATCGATCACGAACAAAATTGAAGCATTGGAAATATGAGTTCATAGACGAACGCTGAAAATACCTTGGACAGCAAGGAAAACTAATGAAGATGTACTAAGGAGCGTTAACAAAGACAGAGAACTGCTAAAGACTGTTAAACATCGAAAAAGTCTTATCTGAGATATATAATAGTAAGGGGAAGTCGATATAAAACATTACAACCGATCCTTAAAGGCAAAATAGGAAAGAAACAAGTTTCTTGGTTAAAAAACATTCGTGAATGAACTCAGATACCAAATGCAGGACAATTATTCCATATTGCAGAAGATCGAGAAGCCTTTGCAATTGTGATCGCCAACGTCGGATAATTCTGATATGGCACGCGAAGAAGAAGAATGAACATTGGCATGAAGGATGCAGCTCTGGAGAAGTGCAAACAAAAATAAGATGGCTTTCAGAAGAAAATGCTATGGAACAATTGAAAGGTTCAATGGTACGACGAAAAAGGTTCCGTATATCGGGATCTAATAATGCAGATGGTTGAAGAGATGATAACCAGACGTGCTATCAGACACGAGCAACGCCTGCTTAAACATATAAATTTCAAAGCAATCCAACTGTTAAATAATGTGCTAATTTGTGAACAAGCTAAAAAGTATCAATGTTATCACAGTAAATGGGATAGATTATCTTTTAAGAATTTAAATAAGAAAATACCTGCAGATGATTATGATTAGATACATGATTAGATTGTAGTCATTAGAATATCCTTTAAAAAAAGCATATTGTTAGCTTTCGGTTCTTTTAATTTTTTTTTTTTCAATTTAATACGTAGTTTTACAATACTAACGTTTTAGTTCTTAGTTGTAATTTGAAAAAAGAATTGTCTGTAGCATCTTGTAAAATTGTGAGACACGGCAACGGTGTGGAAACACTGCGTGTGTATGTGCATCAGTCAGGGTCGCCTGTGTTATCAAAGAGTGCGGGGGGTGGGGGGTGTGATATCCAACTGTCTAGACGTTCGCGATCACGACGAGGCGACTACTACAGTACACTTGACATAGCCAACTCAGTCGGCTGGCCACGCTCACGCTCCGAACTCGAAGTTCCGTGCTTCTCCCGTTGACACTTTCTGTCGTTCTGTGCCGTATAACTAGTATGTCCGATGTTGGTGACCGTCTATCGCGTATGGCATAGTGATAATATCGTAAAACGAAAGCTTAAAAAGTGTATAACTGTCATGCGACAAAAATTGACTATTAATAAAAAGGTACTGCGACTATTTTTCATCAGATAATGTACCAAAAATCAGATAAGGCTGTGAACTGTGATAACTCAATTTTTATGTAATGTGCTGTTTATTTTTTAAGTTTTCAAGGTAGACTTCTATTTTTAATTCAATGTAAGTTTTAGTGTGACTCTCTACATCTTATACTCTCTAAAATCTCGACATAACACTAAAAAAACTACTCTCTACAAATCAATACCTTTTGCTGGAGTCAAATCGCTATTGCCATTTTTCTACCAGCATTTCAACAACTCTACATGTTTTAAAACAATTCTTTGGCATTCTAAAAATCATTTAACACCAACAAATAGCTTTAATTTGAACAAAATAGTGTCTTAAACAACCTAGCTGTCAAATTGTACACTTTCCTTAAAAACCAAGAACTATATTGCTCAGTTTAACAATAATAACCTATCCTATATCTACAATATCACATATGCTTATAGTATACTACATTTTTACTAAAATTTAACTTTGTTTAATTATAAATTATCCATTAAAAATTATTTATCTTGTAAGGCCAACATAGGTACATAATACCCTTCTGCGCATGATCGTAGAGAGTGCCTTTCCTTCCTCATTGTTTTGTCTTTTAACAAGAAAACTATTTTTTATTTGTATTAAAGCTATTTAGAGTATTTAGCCCAAAGTTGGCCTATATGTATATTTAATCACCACAAAAACAGTAGGGTTCGTTTTATACAGAGTGACACCACACACCACAATATAAGAGTAGTTTTAAACTATATACCCCAATATTGTGCATATATTTCCAACAAGTGATATGTCAAAATTGTTTTACTTTAAATTTATTATGCCTATTTAATCTTATTTACTTGTCTGGCAGTACAATTTTATTTGAAACATAACCTCACTTATCTGCGTTTTATTTTGAAGTGGTTGAAATAATAACAGCTCTAGGGATGTTTTATTAAAGGTTTATAACATATTTATGTATTTTACAAAGGGAGTAATGTTTCTATATTATATTTTAGTACTTCTAGTTCCTAATATCTTTGGTCTCATTATTGAAGATGTGCTATAAATGTGGCAATTTCTTCCGTAGTAGAAACACTTCCGTATACATACTACTTCTGCACGCACGGTCATCTTTTACATGAGAAATTTTAGCCTGAGTATTTCTATAAGGTGTAGGTATTTGATTCCTTGTGATTTAGATATCGGGTCCTCTCGTTTGTAATACTTTTTTTTATTAATTCAGACATAGGTATTTACTGTTGACAAAAGTTTTTAATTTTCATCTGAAGAATAACATATAATAATATAATTAGGTATTTGATAAACAAGTACCGTAATGAAACGACACTATTTCAAAATATATGATAAATGATCTAAAACATTACAAAAAGAGCGCCTTAATTCTATTTTACTGGTATATCTTTTGGTTTCCTCAATTTTTTAATTCATATATGTTTTTCATACATTTATACATATGTATGTATACCCGAAAGAAGATGTTTGTTTTCGTTCATTGTATTTCATTTTGCTGACCTAAAATTTCCTCCCGTTGGGTGTTGGAATAAAGATTTTAAGATATGACTGGCAATTTGTATATTATAGATCGATGAATGGTTTTTTTCTCCTAGATTTTTTCACACTGCGATCTTAAACGTCTTTTCGTGTTCCCTATATTTACATTTGTGGTTTTCTACCCTCCGATTCAACAGGTACTTAACCTAGGGATGAGCCACAATAGACCTCTTAGATCGAATGTTGTAAAGGTGGTTAATTAAGCTTTAATCGGTACTTAAATTGAGCTTTATTCCGGTTTTTCAGAACGTTGTTGTGTAGTTTCTTTTGAGCTTCAGAAGTATGGTATTGTAACGAAATAGTTATAGTTTCCGGATGATTGATGAGTTTCTTTTCTTTGTGTGTTCGTAATAAAGTATTGCTCAACGAGAGGCTAGCCTTTTTTCCACGACAAAATCTCTACCAATATAGCTAGGATAAACATTCAATTCGGTCCAAATCTGGAGATTTAGCTGATCAGTTGTCAACAATTTTTATTTTCAAATTTTATTATCGTGCTATGTGATCGGCATAAATATTTTCGTGATTAGCGACTGATCATCATCACTAAATTACATACTTCCAATGTGATAGGAATCGTCTGGGAGGGTTGTGATTATGCTAGATTTCCCGTGCACCTCAATCGTGGTATTTTATAACATTTGTCGCATATGTTCACGTGATGTGTTTATATATGCACTAGAAGAAGAAGATCAATACTGTGCTATGTTATCCTGTAGATTTTCAATCTTTATTTTTGTGGTGTATTCTGCAATTTTATTTTTATGATACATATATGTATTTTCAATTGGATTTTGCACAATACTATCGCTTTATATCTCTGCCAATGTTTCTCTGCCTCACCATTGCGAAGGCTTCTCGAACTTCTGCAATATGGAATCATTGTCCCGCATTTCATATCTTCATCTGAGTCCATTCACAAATGTTCCTCAACCAAGAAACCCGTTTCCTTCCTACACCTCTACGGCCCTCTATTTTTCCTTTAAGGATCAGTTGAAATATTTTATATCGACTTCCCCTTACTATATGTCTCAGATTTAACAGTCTTTAGCAGTTCTCTATCTTTGTTGACGCTGCTTAGTATTTCTTCATTAGTTTTCCTTGCTGTCTAAGGTATCTTCAGCATTCGTCTATGAACTCACATTTCCAATGCTTCAATTTTGTTCATGATCGATACTTTTAGCGTCCACAATTCTGCACTATACAAAAGTATGCACCAAACATAGCACTTAACCATTCTATGTCTAAGTTCTAAAGTGAGATGATTATTGCAAAGAAATGACTTCATTTTCATAAAAGTAGTTTTAGTCATTGCTATTCTACGTTTTATTCCTATGTCTGGATCTATTGGTCCGTTATAACAGTTCCCAAATATGTCATTTTGTGAACTTTCTCAACTTGGACTCCGTTCAATTGAAGCTTTGCATCGGGATGTGGGTCACGACTAAACACTAAAAATTTAGTTTTGTTTGACTTTATTTTAATGCCCATTTCCTCTCCTACCTAGTGAATACGATCATCTCTTCTTTCATTCTCTCAGTTGGTGTATCATCTAGACCACAAGCTTTTCTAATTTTAGCATTATTATAAAAGTCGGTACATTTGTTTAAAAATGAGCTGTAGTTTAAAATAAATGAAATGTTATTAAAGCTTTAATGACACATCCCTGGACCTTTTATATAATATATATTAAATTAAATATTTACTATTTTATGTCCCTACACAATCCCCAAAGTGTTATGTTTATGTCACTGTTTTATAAAAGTATGTAAGTAGTTAGTTTTTTGCATGCAAATTTTTTACTCCAGCGATTTTTGCCAAGTGTTCGCAACATTTAGACCATATGAGTGCTAAAAATGGCACTGATTGACCATTACGTTAATGTCCATTAGAAATATGTTCACATTGTGAATTATTTCTCAAATCTAAGGTTTTAAAAGATGATTTCTTCGTATTTTTAGTTTGTTTCAACATAATTTAATTTTTATTATGTAGATTTTTTTTACAAAATTTTTATTGTATAATCAATACAATTAAAAATATAACAACTAAAATAAATCAATTCAGAACATAAGAATTGATGTAAACTTCTTCTCGTAGCATTACAACCCGGGATGGGTCTTGGCTGACTTGATTACATCAATAGTTGGGTCATTGGGTAGCCCCATTGTTCTTAGATCTGACCATATACTGTCTCTCCATCGCATTCTTGGACGTCCTAATGACATTCTTCCTGTGGGGGCTTCCTCCCGTATTAACTTGTCAAGGCGGTTATTAGGGAGTCTATATCTTAGACATTGGGATTTAATCTCTTGGACTCTTTCGCTCGCTCTATACATCTGCTTGACCTCAGCATTTGTTCTCATTCGGTATTGGTTGCTATTAAGGTCCAAAGATTTTTTTGAGGATTTTCCTCTCAAAACATCCAAGTTTTCTTTCAGTTTCTTTGGTCAGGGTCCACGTCTCACACCCATACATGCGCACAGTTCTAATCACCGTTTTATATATTCTAATCTTTGATGTTCGTGTTAGGCTTTTAGATTGAATAGTATTGTGGAGGCTGTACATACATTTATTTGCTGTATGGGTCTATTGTAACATTTTGCCCTATTCTATCTCGTCCCTTTTGTCTGTTGATGCACATGTATTTGGTTTTCTCTTTGTTTACCATTAAACCAGTTTTCTTTGCCTCTACCTCCAATTTATTAAAAGTCTCCTTCAGATTGGTGACTGTTTCCCAATTTGTCAATGTCATCTGCGTATGCTAGTACTAATTTTGGTCTATTTACTATCAGTAATTCTGTTTTAAGTTGTGCTGCTCTGTAAATACAAAATTAACACTTTTAATATAATGTTCGTATGTAAACTGCACATAAAATGACAACCTTGTTATTTAATACAATAATTATTGTAATCTTATTTTAGAAATCTATTTTCCCTTTGCATTAATTTTTTTTATAATTTGGAAACAAATAGAACTTGAATTAACTATTTTTTGCTGACTTTTTACAATTTACCATTTCTGTCTTTGGCCGCTATCGCTGTGTCGTCGGCATAGAGGCATAGTAGTGTAGCTGGTGTTCTAGGTATGTCTACTGTGTATATCGTGTACAGTAGAGGTGCCACTACCGCTCCCTGTGGCACTCAAGCCTCCGGGTTCCCGAGTTCGGACAGGACTTGTCCTATCCGGACTCTGAAACTACAATTGCTCAAGATCTTCTCATTTTGTAGATCAATCCTTTATGCCAGATTCTGTCGAAAGCTTTGCCGACACCTAGGAAGGCAGCTCCTGTAAATTGTTTATCATTAAATCCAGCTGCTATGTACTCTGTTAATCTGAGTACATGTAGCTCACTGGGGTGTTCTGAATATCTAATCTGTCTATTTCAGCTTGGAGTCTGCTGAGTATTATTCTCTTTACAATCTTGCTG